TGCAAATACATAATAAAATGTGTCTTGTCTGACCAACCAGATCACATACTTCCTGGGTTTTGTAGAGGCTTACATTGTCCCAAACAAACCACACTCCCTCCAGATTATCTTCATCCAATTTCTGGAATTATCTCTGAAGAAATTTCGTCAAAAATATTTGAAGTTACCGTAGAATGTGCAATTACTTTATGCCACACCACTCCCTGAATATTTACTGCTGCAATTAGAGGAACATTTTGTCCTCTAATCATTGGCATGGTCACATGAGCTGGTTTATTAACTTTCAAACACACCTTTGTTTTTCAAAAATTAAGTTCTGTGCAAGAAATATTTTGGCTGATCCATCAAACCATGAACATTTAGTAGATGTTATTAATCATTCCATTGCAACTATTACTCCTACAGATTGTCATAATTATTTTATGAATATGTATGTGAAATTACCATGAGCAGCGGCAGCAGAGCCATTATAAATGAAGCTATAAGTAAATAAGTATTTCTGATGTTAAATAAGTAGTTTATGTTTATTATTAAATACATTCAATAAAATGTTTAATTTTAACAATAAGTTAACATTGAATTTATTTTTATCGCAAAGATTAAGAAAATATTTTTGTGGAAAAATTTGATCTGCAAAAGGATGAATTTGATTTGCAAAAAGGTGAATTTGATTTGCAAAAGGTGAATTTGATTTGCAAAAGGGTGAACTTGGGGTGCAAAACCTGTAGATATAGAATTAGTACTACCCATATATAATGGGCATCCTTAGTTTTCCCTCACAAATTTGGGCAAAAAAAGTGCACATTATACGTGACAAAATACGGTAATTAGATAGATAATTAGCTAGATCGATATATAAATAGATAGATGATAGACAGATAATTAGGTAGGTAGGTAGGTAGGTAGATAGATAGATAGATAGATAGATAGATAGATAGATAGGTAGACAGACAGATAGATAATCAGTACCAAACACCATGTAGAAAAAGCAAGGCAATTGGGAGAGAGTAACGCGGTCCTGCGTTAGGTAAGCATGGAAAAATAGGTTTGAGTCAGTAATGTTGAGAAACAAACCGTGCTTTTGGTTATAATTTCTATCAATAATAACAGCCAACATTTAGCAAGCACTTTACATACATGATTTGTATGACAATAGCTTGAGATATCATTATTATTAGCTCCATTTTACAAAGTCATAAACTGAGACTCAGAGAGTTTAAAATTTTTTAAGCACCATGATCATATTGCTAATAAAAGG